CTCATCAGCTACTAACGTTACTGTCTCTAAACCGTACATAAAAATGGGGAGGAATGACGTTGCGTGGATCTTTACTTTTGCTGTCAGACTTAAGTACCGCTGATTCCAAATTTTTGCTAAGCTTGCAAATGTTGCCTCCGACAGAGTAATTTTCTTGCCCAGTTCGAAATCACAGCGGCTGTCTGTAACTGTTTAGCTTAGGTAATTGAAACAGTTACTTTCTGCCAGTCGGTATCTAGTGAATGCGAGATCGACCGCCACTGTTCTTTCAGCCTTTCTCATCACTTTGGTTTTCAGTACGCTGAGTCAAAAGCCTACTCTTTCGGCAGTTGCTTAAACAGATTTTTTAGAAACACCATGTAAATATCTTGATCAGACATCTGCAATGTATGATAGACCTCTAATACCAAGCTCAGGTGCTTAAGATCACCTTGTTCAATCAGTTTTGGAGACCGCCATTATCTACAGCCTGAACTGTTCAGCAGTTCGCCGGATGTCACAATACTTCCGTCGCCGTTCTTTGTTCGTGCGTTCTAACATGTGATGAGGAACTTGTTCTTGGTAATATGTAGCTGTAATCTCCGGGAATTTTTGGTTCGATATCGTTGTCCATGTTGTGGATGGGAACTGATAATCGCGCAGGTGGTTCATGAAGGTCAAACGAGTGCTTGACTTTTACCCGATAGCACAGACGAAACTAAAACAAAATATCTCGAATGATCGAAAGTACTGCAGCGTCAGCCCAAAGCGTTGAACATCCCGATCAATAATTCAGTTAAGTTTAAATTACAGGCCAAAGCATTTGGCAATCCGTAAAACAAGATGCAGCAATAAACGCGCATATATGAACGTAAATTTGAATCTAACTGGTACTTCGAGTGATGACTAGAATTAAGTGTTTAAGTGTAAGAAATTTAATGAAAACAACTACTTTAGAAGCGATTTTGCTACTAAATATATATCAGATCTGCACCAAATGAATTATATGCATGTGATTATAACGGAAGCAAGAACAACAACGACGCACAGGCTGATTTTACAGAACATCAACATATCACGATACAAACCTATTAGAGCTGTGGTAGTCCATTCCATCGTGCGAGATGGTCTCCATTCATTCACTCTGTCCAGAACTCTATCCGATCCGTCTTCTCTACCCCATCTAGCGCACGTCTCTGAAGGCTAGTGACGCAACGCATCGGCGTCGCTTTGTAGGAAAGAAGACAGACAAATCATGCCAAATAGTGTCGATAACACGCAGAAACAACGATGGCCCAACGACTGAATAAAACATTACAAATGAACAAAGCATTAACATGTACTTATCACAAAACTGCAACATATTATGATGCAAACTTATCACAGCTAGAGTAATGCACTCTATTGTGTGAAACGGACTTTATCCGTCAACGTCCAAGTTCACTTTAATCCACCAAGCGAACTTCGATGACCGCTGCAGCAACAGAACTCGCTAACAGCACTGGTGCGCAGAAGTGACTATGTCGAAAAGCGGGCAGTAGCGTTATGTTATACGGGCGGTGTTTTTCAAAATTTGATTGGCTGAAGGCTTAATAGCGAAGGTCTAACTCGAATTACTGGATCTGATAATTCTGGTAAAAGGCAGTTTCATGGCTGTGCTGTTGCGATAAGTTGAAAATGCTGCCTGTAGATCTTCAGCATACCGTATGTTTCATGAGCGTTTGTTGATGTGTTGCTCCTAACTTTTTATCGTGTAAGTCGAGTTCTCTATTTTACTAGGGATTTAGCGGTCTTTACTGTAATTAAGGTAAACTTAAAGTACCGTGATGGCTCTACGAAGTGATACCGAATGGGATACTGTGACCGTCCTGCGAAAACGGCCACCGAAGGCAAGCGAGTTGCGTGATTCGAAGACAGTGAATCAAGCGCAGCGGCTGGGCAAAGCAGTCGATACGACTAAGAAATTCAATGCAGCGACTAACAAACAGCACGTCGCAGTAAAAGACATTTCTCAGCTCGACAACGAATTCGAGGACATGCATCACGATAAAATACCTCTCGAAGTAAATTTTCCGTAAAATTTTGCTTATGGTGCAGCCGTCATGCTTTCTAAGTTAGGATTATATCTCAGTTGGTACGTAAGAAGCAATGCTACAAGTGTTTGCTGGATGAATTTTAATGAGTGTTTTGGTCCTCAGTTTTGCTCACCTAAATTTTTTTTAGCGAAGCGAAGTTGTCTTATTCGATAAGCAAGAAAAGTTACTTTACGGAGTATTCTGTTTTTAAGGCTTTGAATTTTTCCGTTATTGCCATGTATGCTTGAGTGTTGCGTTATGCACCGTTTCGAAATGACATAACTGCCTAGTTATTTCTAAATTGTTTGGTTGTACCAGTTTTTTCCTCAAATTGGTTCTGTTGCCGAAAGGAGGCAAAATTTGACAAGATGTAACCAGCCACACAAAGGAAACGCACCGTAAATTTTTGAATTCGTGTATAGCAGAAAATTTTGTGTTCGAGAATAAAAGAGTAAGAATTTCTTTATTCTTAGATAACACATTGTTACTGAGTAGTGCAGTTATCAGGTTGGTAAATGCCTGCTGCAGTCGCAAGCGTAATCGGACAGAATGATTATAGGTGTCGGTAGCTCTGGCATGACTGCACCAGAACTTCAAGTTGTCCCTAATGTTCACAGGCTATCGATTTTTTCACAATGGGAAGAATTTCTGACGGAGTTGGATTTGTACCTATCGAGAAATATTAATACATCCACATCTCTATCGTGCCGAGTGGAACGGCATCATGTGGTATCACTTTCATTTGGTGGCAGTAGTTTTTTGTTATAGATTTGACTAAATGTAGGCTATTTGAAAAATGCATACACTACAACATGGGTCACTTTGCTGTGCTTATTTGTCTTCTGACAAAATTTTATTTCATAGTAATTGAGCAAAATATTTCAGAAATGAAGCTCATATATCTGATAAGTACAGTTTCTTGGGGACCATGTTTGTTGCATGTTAAATCCCCTTGCGTATTACATTTCGGATAAAGGAATAGCTATCACTGTCATAATTAAATCGAATGATAAAATACAGCCACAGAAAAAGATCGCTATGGTGAGCAGTTGCTTACCCATCATGACGTAAAAAAAACAGTAAATCTACAACAGTTGTACACGTGCTATGTAGTTGGTAACGACGCGTAACAGCTTTTGACAAATTAACTGTTTTATTCTATCTTTTTGTCAATGACCAAGTTGTCTTTTCAACTCATATATCATTTTCTTGGAAGTAGCACTGCGTAGTTGTTCGCATGAGTGCTAGCGATGCTTGCTAACTCAAAATTTTACACAAGCTGCTTCGTCTTTTCAAATACTCTCACTACAGTGTACGTACGTTTATTTTGCGTGCGATTGCGATGAACAGATTCTTCTGCATCTTCAGTACCAATATTTGCCTTAGTGCGAAGCAGAGAGCCAAATCTTGGACTATTTTAAAACCGGATATTCGCTCTAGCAACCAAATTATGGTATATCAGATGTACGCCAGACACCAGAGGCAATCGTAAAATGACTTTTCAGTTTAAGCGTGCAACTCCGATTTTAAGAGCCATTGGAAAAAGTGAAAGAACGGAACCGAATATGGTATTCTGAAATAAGACATTGACGCTGTGCTGAGAAGATGACGTCAAATCATTTGAAAGTTAAAGTGCTTGACTGGTAATCGAGTGCCATCATGGTTCTGCCAACTCCCAGGTTACTTTACTCTTTATATCGTTCCGAAACGGCTGAAGCACTCGGGTATTAAGAGACTGCACTCAAATAATATGATTTTCCTGATAGAATTTTGCTGTGATCAAATTTTATGTCCGTGTAGAATAACTGAGCAAAGCAGTCGTCGATCAATTGTCTTGGTTTGCCATTTTAGCCAGTTTATGCAGCTGGTTTAGTACTTCGTCGACTTTGTGTAAAATCTGAAAATCTATGGATTTCATAGCACATTTCTTCCATTTTGGAAGAGATGTGTGCGAGATCCATGTTTGCCATTAAAGTATGACGGTGACATATTTGAGTAGTTACCAGTAGCACGCAGATTTTGCCTTTGTTATTCAGCATTGTTCTCAACGTTTTAGCCTACATCACATGTTAAGTTACGTTAAGCTGTCTGCCGTTTTTTAAAGCAGCCTAACATGAATTACGTAAAACAAGTAAACAAACGTTTTTTGACTTTCTATTTCTGAAACAGTGCTGACACTCGCGAACACGAAGGTATCATTCTGGAAGGGATGCACAGTTCATGATATCAGGGCTGTTGCATAGTGCACAGGAAACTTCGCAAAGGTGCACAGCTCTCCGCTTTTCTCATTCAGGCGTGGGACCGGCACTGGCGAAGTTCTCAACAAGCAGCAACAACGATTTTATGAAATATGAGGGGTTACAGGGCAGCAGTGCCTCTACATAAGAAGTTAGACGCTTATGGCTTTACTGCGTCGCGCAGCAGCTAGCCATTGAATTGGTGCGAGGTGAATAACGCGTGGTATTCACGTGATTTTGTTTTAACCTAAATCAGGTGACGCGCTTAATGCATTTAACGCCTGATGCAGTTTCAGAAGATTTTTTTTTGATGATGTTTTTGTCACTTGCATCTTTACTCACACACCTAAAGTGTTTTGACACTTGCTAAGTTCCGTGTTTAGCATAATGATTTCTGGCGTCATTTTTTCTATTAAGCATGTTTATACTGAAAGAATTCATCAGAATTAATTCAAATATTAGCAGAGCTTACGTGTCTTAACCCGTTATGGGCGAGTTTTTAGAAGTTTTCATGTGTAAAATTTCTTTACAATGTGATTTTGTTTTTTATCGTCAAAATGCTTTAAATTTTGTTCACAAGACATTTCTTTCATTGCCAAAATAGGAAAATATGCGGGTACATATTTGTACTTCTAGCATGACATCGGGAAACTTAATATTGGTGGAAAAGCGTTCATTATCAGGAAAAATCTCATTAGCAGCCTCTAATTCTCTTATCTATAAATATTAATGCTTCAGAATTTTACAGTCAGGAGAACTAAACTATTTATGTGATAAGATGTGAAGCACTCGAAGCATAAACCCACACAACATTTCACACAGGGTTTGAACCCTCTTTTTACGTTCTTCCCCAGCACACCGACGTCTTTGTCCATAAGTATTCTTGACAAGATGACCGATGTTATTGCGTCTCAGTTTATTGCCTGTTTGTTCATTGCATCTGAAGAGGGTCGGCCTCCATCTTTTGGTAAAGTACCTAATGACGAGAAATGATGACGTGATGGATCTTTGAAATTCGATCCGTGACATCGTACCACTTTTTCTTCAATGTAGTTACCAGGAATTGACTATGGCTGCATTGATTATCCAAGTGAAGATAGGCCACCACCATTTCAGACGGATAGAGGTGCGCTATGTACATGCAGTCTAGTCCACCATTTCAGCGCAACCGATGTAATTGTTATATGCTGCATTGCTGTATTGCTTCTGTGCGTTAGACGGGCGCTTTACATTACCTGTTTCTGTCGCTGGAAATTGTGTTTAATCAGCGGTGACAGTTGCACTGTCCAACCATCTGGTAGCACAGATTTATTTCTCTCTGCATACCGCACTCTTTACGTATCCGCATTCAGGTTTCTTTGGCTGTTTGGCTGGCGCAAGCGGGATACTCTCGAAAGTTTGTTTTTACGAGTTGTTCCGCTGCCATGATACCCAGTGTATTGAAGTTGCAAGAGCAGTGCATAGCTACAAAAGCAATTGCCGAAATGAAACCACAGTGATCTGCTCGCAGGCTCTAGTAAGAACTTGGTCCTGAAGTTCGCTTGACAGAGCGAAGCCCGTTCCTGCCACTTGTTCCAGGAATCGAAGTTTTTCATTCATGGTCCACGATTCATGACCACAGTTAAGCATGGGGGGTCATCTTTAATATTAAAGGCATAGTTTTCACACTCAGCTCTGCTTTAGTCACAACGGTTAGTGCTAGTTTACAAAAAACGCAACTGGCTACTCCAATCCACAAGTCAATCTCTACCTCAAATTTTCCATCACCGGTAAACACGACTCTGAGGTACTTGAACTTCTCTACCAGCTCCACTGCCTCTTCGTTAACGGGCAGGAGAACGAGAAAGCACTAGGCTTTTCGTTTTAGATGCGTTCACACGCATGGCGGTCATGTCGCAGTCGGCTGCGAACCTTTCCAAGGAGCACTGGAGATCAGTTTCAGAAGATGCTAATAAAACAAGATCGTTTGCAAACAACAACCTTCTCGATTTCACATCTCCTACACCGATACCCTCATCGCCTTGGCAGCTCCTGACTATTCTATCCGTGTACAACACAAACAGGATAGGGGAGAGGACGCAGCCTTGGCGGAGACCAGTGCGAACGTTGAAAGGATTCGAGTTAACGTCATTTATTCTGACGCAGCACCTGCTGTCAGAATACAGTGATTGGATGGCCATTAACAGCTAGTCATCTATCCCGTATGTTCGCAGACACGACCACAGATTGTTACGCTGGACTCGGTCATAGGTTTTATTTAGGTCCACAAATCACATTTAAACCGGTTGCGTGAATTCCCACGATTTCGATTTCTCAACAGTCTAGCGTGAGGCAAATATCTGGTCAGAGGTGGTTCGGACTGATGTGAAGCAACGCTGCTCTTGTATCTTGGGATCAGTTATTCCGCGGCCCCTCTTTTCTAGCTCATTTACGTCGACTTTATCCGGGAGGCTTTATAAGGTAATGTCCCGATAGTTGGAGAACTGCCTGTCGTCTCTTTTCTTGAACAAAGGTCCCGTAGTCCCGTTTTCCAATTCGGTGGTGTCTTCCCAGTAACCGTTGCAGTTTGACCGCTATGTCTAAGCCAGCACATGCCTTGTTCGCCTATTACTTTGGGCGTTTCAAGGCGAATTTCATAAATTCCATCAGCCTTTCCAGCATGTCACAGTTGCTGCGATTTCATCTATATGAATGATAATATCCGTTTCCTACTGCTCTACGAGCGATTCTTTCTGCGGTTGCTCGAGGATAAGGAGTTCCTGAAAGTACGTCCTCCATCGCCGAAGACTGCCCTTATCTTCGGTAAGAGGGTATCCAGATCTGTCCTTCAAGACTCTTAGACTGTCCTTTTTTTCACCTCGGAGCCGGCAGATGATCTGCCAGCTAACCTTATTTGCCCTCCGAAAATTCGACTCGAACACCTCACCGAACTTCTCACAGGAATCAGCTTTGGCTTTCGCCACTGCTTTCGCTGCCCCATTGCGTGCCTCGACATATCGCACGCCAGTAGAAGGCTCTTTGTTTCCAAGCCATTTCTTGAACGCTGCTTTCTGCTCTTTAGCTGCCAATTGTGCTTCTCATGTCCACCATAAAGATTTTCTCTGATCTCCTGGCGGCAGGCCAACCCGTTTAAATTCGTGGCATTCGGCGGCATCCTTGAGTATGCCGCTCAAAAAGAGCTGCCACTCGGTTTCCAATTTAGTGGTCATCAGCGGGATATGTTCAAATCGTCTTGCGATGTTGTTTGCACGTTCTGCCATCGTTCCGCATAAGATAATATTTCCTATGGATTCTCTGGGTTGCTTCTGCGACCAGATCATCGAAATGTACTACATTTCTCACAGCGTAGCGTACTAGCAACAACGTGGTGATCAGTAGACCGCTCTGAGCGTCTCTCAACGCGAGCATACAGTACATAGCTTCATAAGTCAGACGAGGCGATTATCAAATCGATTATCGACTTCGGTGCACAAGCTTCCCTGTACCAAGTATACTGATGCACGCTTCAATGCTCGAAGATGGTGTTCATAATGAACAATCCATTGTTTGATCAAAATCGCCGTTATTTGAGTTCGTCAGGGCCGTTCTTTCCATTCACACCTTTCCACTTTTTAGTGTATACTCCAACATGCGCATTGAAATCACCCATTAGAATGAGATTGTCTGCGCATCTTACACAACACATACCATTTTCTCAAGGAAGAACTCATGTTCTCCCTTAAAATTGAGCGCACAGACTTGTAACTAGGTCTGAGCTTGACTGTCGTAGCTTCAGTCGGAGCATAGCCACTCTTTCGCCGACAGTCTTCCATTCAGTGATAATCTTAGCCAGGTTTGGTTTTAATAGAGCAGAAACACCGTCCTGAGTGCGTGTCGTGATGTTGAGTAGGGTAGCTTCCCCCCTTAGAGGTTCAGAATTCCAGAGCCTTGGCGCTTCGTTGAGGAGAGTCCAACTATGTCGAGTTTGTGTCTTGCGACCTCATCAACTAGCTCCTGCCCCTTCCGTCTGAGTAAGGAAATGTTCCAGTTGACGAATGTAAGTTTCCACAATCGGTATCGTTCTCCGGTTCTTTTTCGGACTTGCTATAATGGTGTCGCGCTGTCTGCCTCCTCCGTTCAGAATGAGTTGCGACTCCGTTGCTGATTAGTATGTTTCTTCGTCGTCGCTTTGTCCATCTTGAGCTGCCGTTGTCATGCTGTTACGATCCCGTCTGCCCGAAGGCGATGAGCAGGCTCTAATCGCCCCCTTTGCGAAGCCTGCCTCAGTCCCCCAATGGCCTGCGCCGCTCTTGGTAGCCTGGGCAACGACCGAGGGGGTGTAATGTTCGATGGCGGCAATACGATGAGGCTTAGGTGGTGGTTAAGTTTTACTGGTTCTTAGCCACGGTATTCAACCCTTCTCCTTGCCCGTCTGGGCTTGGGACCGTACTGGCAAGGGCGGAGTTAGCTATAGACTTTTCTGGGCGAATTTCATCAACTTTTACCGCCTTGCTACTTTTTAAGCTGTTCTCAGCTTTCGCCTCATTATCTACCGAAACATTAATATCCGCTCTCCATGTTGAAGCTGTTCTCCGTGCGCTTGTTCAGGGCTAAGAAGCTCATGAAGGTTTTCTCCATCGCCGGAGTATTTCCGGTATGGTAAGAGGGCGTCCAAACTTGTCCTCCAGAACTTTTAGGCTGTCTTTCTTTCCATGGTGGCGGATGGTTTCTGTGTCCGAAATCGTCGGGCGACGATGCCTGCTTTGAAAGTGTAGTTGTGAAGAAAGTTTAATGTTGTGCTCACCGGAAATTTTTGAGCTATATATAGCATAAGGTATTGAATAAAGCAATTGATACAGATGACTACCAGCAATTATATAAAGTCTGACACCCGATCAAGTGTCTGCTCACTGACCTGCGACTCTGCGCAGGCACGACGACGGAATATAATGAAATAAAGATTTAGAAATTCACAGTTTCACAGCAACAAGTTGACAGACATCTTATCTGCCCACTGCATTAGACTCTTCCTCCTCCTCACCGCCGCCCTCGTTTTTGAACTGCTGGGTTTGGCGGTTCTGTAAATATTTCTACAGCTGCATCTTCCATAGCTTCATGTACTTAGAGAATTTTCAATGTCGTTAAAACCCTAAACGCCAAGAAAAATTTGTTAAACAAATACTGTAAGCGTATAGTTTGTTTTATTGTGAATGAAATTCCTTTTGCCAGAACTGGTTGTACAATAGTGTACCGTTGCGGATAGATAACTGGTTGCGGGAAGCGTAATATGGCTACATGCAAAAATTATATATTTCAGAAATACTTTAAGGGTGGAATTGTCAGATGTTAAAAACAGTACATATTGTAAAAAAGATTACGTATATGAGGAACACTTTATCTGCAATGTTATAAACTGTCGTGCACAGTCTGACAGCCAGTTGTTATAGACATCGCCAGATAAATGAAAAATGTCTTTTCCATAAGTTCTGTTGTCATTTCCTTCGAACTGTTTAAATTTGATTTGTGACATCGGCATAAAAATAAAGTACATTTACCGTGGAAACCGTTGGCGCACTGCGCAATCGCTAGTCCATAATAAGTTAAAGTATTTCGGTTTTACTTTTCGCAGTACCATTTCCGTTCAGGGAGCTGGCTGCTTTTTTGCGTGCTTATGATAAGATGCAAAGTTCAGGACAGATTTGAAACGTAGTTCTCTGCTTTTTCAGAGTTTGAAGTTTCAAAAACGATCGTTCTTCTGATCGTTCAGATCATATGCTCTATGTTCGGTGTAATAATTTATACTTTAGATTGGTCGTTTGATCCAGTCTGGCCGTCAAGCCAAAGAATGGAGTCAGAGCGACCTAGCGAAGGCTATAAACGAAAAACTTTCTATTGTGAATGACTATGAGGCTGGGCGTGCGGTGCTCAACCAGCAGATCTTGGGAAAAATTGAGCGTGCTATAGAAATCAAGCTGCGCGGCAAAGACAAAGGAAAACCATTACCGCACAAACCTCCTAAGGCGGAGGCAACTAAAGGTGGTCAGAAAAAGAAATGAAGACAGCTAGTAAATCTAATGTTCAGATATACAAAGTGAATGGGTAAAGACATTATGTATCTGTTTTTTTTGGTTTACGTGTTGAAAACCAATGCGCGTGTTTTAAAATGTCATTTTTATGCAGTCACTGACGTGCAGGTGAGAAATTCTTCTAACTGCTAACTTTTGGCTTTGAGGCTATGCTGTGCCTTTGAGGCTACCCGGAATTAAAATGTTGATATTTACTGTTTCCGTCCGCTGTTTGCAACTTCTAGACACATGGCATTAAATTGCGTTTCATTTGTGCAACGAAAAATTTAGCACATTGTTTAATGATGTCAAACATTTTATATCGATTGTAAAACATTCGCTTTAGGCACGAGCGGTGCGTGTCATTCCTGTGGGCCTCATTTTGACTGGCATTGCAAAACCCTTTCCAGCCAGATCATTTGACGTTTGCAGCTAGCTCTGTAGTTGAACAAAATAAGTAATTAACGTCAGTCTGTTATGGAAGAGTTTAGTGTTGTCAAGGCCAGGTGCAGTTCGTTGGCTCAGTGGTCCTAAACGGTAACCACGCTCGACTGAACATGATAATTTGACTCATAATGATTCAGCACGTGTCGGTACACAAAACGAATCAGATTAGGCGGACGCCCCTTATTTTCTTCAGGTGTTTTTGCCGTTCGATACTTGTTGCCCACTTTGTTAAATACCGTGTCTGCTGTCCTATTTGGTGGTCATCCGTTGATGTCTGTCACCTGAATATCTTTGAAGAAATCTTGAAGAGCATGACTGAATCTAAGAATCATTCTGTGTTGTTTATTCATAGATTGAACTGTTGATCTTTATAGTACTATAGTGACAGCTCTTCTACCGTAACCGGTTTAAGGTCTCTGCGTATTACAGCGAAGTTAGTGAACAGTGTATTTGTGATGTGTAGAATTTCCGGTTTGCTGATCAGATATCATTTTGTTTCTTTTAAGCTTTTTCAGCTGCTCATTTTCACGGTTTCATGTCCCATAACGATCTTCATCCAGACGGATTTCCAGGTTTGAAGAACCTGTACTACTTGTGATCCGCTACATCTCTCGATGAGCTACACCTTTTTACGCCCAAAACAGAAAAATCATTCTTTCAGTGATAGATATTTTTTCAGAATAGGAAAATCTCATTATGGCAAAAGAAATAGACTCACGAAAAGCAAATGGTTGCGATCGGCTGTTTGCGAGCCTTCGTGGTTTCTAGCATTGAACTGTCCCACTCATTTCAAATTCAGTTTCGAGTGTCGATTACAGTTTGGTACATCGTAGGGCCGTTATAGACTCCCAAGACTCTAATAACGAAAGGGTTGCTTGATTATACGTTTGTGCCGATTTCCGTAGTCTCGATATTTGCACTGAACTGATAGCTGTTAAAGTTAAGAATTTTATCATGTCACTTGCATTTTAGAAAGCTGAGCATGTTCCTTATGCGTTGGCAGTTATGCTGAAAAACTATAAAATCGTGGTTTGGTTATGCGTATTTACGTGTTATTTCATTGTTACTAATGGTGCGTTCCATTCACCTGAGACTATCTAACAAAGTTTAAGCAATTCATAAAATAGACAGAAACTTTCTTAGAAGATATAAAAGTTTTTATAACCCAGACTTAACCGTGTAAATCAGTCTCAGCAGCAGAATTTAAAGCCGTGAAACTTCCAAGAGTACGTATTAATATAGTAATTAAGAATACGTTGTCAAGAAGATTTGCAATAGGGCAAGATACGGCACACTAACAAGTGCCAAGTAGTGTCCAGCAATTCCAGCACGTCTCTATGCAATTAGTTTCTTGTGTATAAATTCCTTGCATTTCCTGCAGATCGCTCACCACGACCTTATAGTATTTAACGCGACGCGTAAAATTCAGTTTTATCGAAACACCTTTGAAGCCTGATCATAACCAGATGATATCCAACTTTAACGTTCTTCCTAAAATACATAATCATAATGTTCCATTCAGGCTAGTTGTCTTTGC